ACAGCTAATATCATACAGAATGGGCACAAGCTGGAAGTATTTCCCCTATGAAACTGGAACAAGATAAAGATGTCCACTCTCCCCACTCCTATTCACTATAGTACTAGAAATCCTAGCCAGAGCAATTAGGCAAGAGAAATAAATAAAAGGCATCCAAATAAAAAAATAAGTCAGATTATCTCTCTTCACTGATAATATGATCCTATACCTGGAAAACCCTAAAGATTCCTCCAAAAGACTGCTAGAACTAGTTAATGACTTCAGCAAAGTCTCAGGATACAAAAGAAATGTATAAAAATCAGTAGCATTTCTATACATCAATAACATTCAAGCTGACAGCCAAATTGAGAATGCAATCCCATTCACAATGTCCACAAAAATAAAATACCTAGTAATACATCTAATAAAGAAGATGAAGGATCTCTACAAGGAGAACTACTACAAAAGAATACTTAAAGAATGTATAGATGACACAAATAAATGGAAAATCATTCCATGCTCATGGCTTAATAGAATCCATATTGTTAAAATGGCCATATTGCCCAAAGTGATCTATAGTTTCAACACACTTTCTATCAAATTGTGACATCACTTTTTCACAGAATTAGAAAAACCTATTCTAAAATTCATATGGAGGCCAAAAAGAGCACAGATGGCCAAGGCCAATCCTAGACAAAAAGAACAAAGCTTCAGACCTCACATTACATGCCTTCAAACTATACTATGAGGCTACAGTGACCAAAGCAACATGGTACTGGTTCAAAAATAGACACATAGACCAATGAAACAGAATAGAAACCCTGAAATAAAGCTGCATACCTACAAACAACTCACCGTCAACAAAGTTGACAAAAATAAACAATGGGGAAGGACACCCTATTTAAAAAATGGTCCTGGGAAAGCTGGCTAACCGTATGCAGAAGAATAAAAATAGCTCCTATTTCTCATCATATACACAAATTAATTCAATATGGATTAAAAACTTAAATGTATGGTGTCAAACTATAAAAATTATAGAAGAAAGTCTAGGGAATACTCTTCTAGACATTGTCTTAGGCAAAGAATGTATGATGAAGATCCCAAAAGCAAATGCAACAAATCAAAAATAGACATATGAGATTTAATTAAACTAAAGAGCTCCCACAAAGCAAAAGAAACTCTCAACGAGTAAACAGACATCCTACAGAATGGGAGAAAGTACCTGCAAACTCTGCATCCAACAAATACCCAAAATCTATAAGGAACTTAAATGAGTCAACAAGAAAAACAAACAATCCCATTAAAAAGTAGGCAAAGGACATGAACAGAGACTTTCCAAAAGAAGCCATACAAGCCGCTAACAAATACATGAAAAATGCTCAACATCACTAATCATCAGAGAAACGCAAATTAAAACTCAACTGAGGTACTGTCTCAAGCCACTCAGAATGGCTATTAGTGAAAAGTTAAAAATAATAGACATTGGCAAGGTTGTAGAGAAAAGGGAACGCTTATGTACTGTTTATAGGAATGTAAATAAGTTCAGCCACTGTGGAAAGCAGTGTGGAGAGCTCTTAAAGAACTAAAAATAGAACTACCATTCGACCCAGCAGTCCCATTACTGAGTATATACCCAAAGGAAAATCAATCATTCTTCCAAAAAGATACGTGCACTCCTATGTTCATTGCAGCACTATCTACAATAGCAAAGATGTGAAATCAACCTAGGTGCCCATCAATGATGGATTGGATAAAGAAAATATGGTATACATAAACACCATGGAATACTACACGGCCACAAAAAGAACAAAACCATGTCCTTTACAGCAACATGGGTATGGCTGGAGGCAGTTATGCTATGTGAACTAATGCAGACACAGAAAAGCAAATATTACATGCTGTCACTTAAAAGTGGAAGCTAAATCTTGGATTCACACAGACATAAAGATGGCAACAATAGACAACGAGGACTTTGAAAGAAGGGAGAGAGGAAGGCAAAGGCTGAAAAAGTTTCTATTGGGCACTATGTTCCCTACCTGGATGATGAGGTTAACAGAAGCCTAAACCTTAGCACCACACAATATATCCTATAACAAATCTATACATGTTCTCCCGAATCTAAAATATAAATGGAACTTTTTAAAAGACAGTGTGAAGATGCTGCTAGTTTTGAAGTAAATATTAAATAAATGAGCTTGATCTTAGTAAATCCCATCTAGTTCATGAGCAAGGTGGCTAGGCTTCTTGGTAATAAAATTGAGCCATGGTTTGGTATGAACCTTTTTTGCTCAAATAGGTTTTATGCATGTCATTAAGAGTTTCATGTTAGAACCTCAAGTCCTATTCACATCTGATTTTCACCACAAGATATAAGTGAGAATTAAATCCACAAAGTTTATTCCTAATCCAGCAACAAAATGTTATTTTAAAATCTGAGAGAAATGCTTAGTTCTATAGAAAATCATTTTTCTTCCCTGCAGAAAACTTAAACAAAAGCAAGATTGCCTCTAGGTTTTATTTTGCTGCTGCTTCATTAGAAGCTGTGAGAAGCTGTCTCCCAAGAAACAGACCTGCTGTATAATAACCTATGAATACACAGATTTTAATATAAAAATGAAATGATCTACAATTGAGTTAAAACCACCAAGTTTTAAAACACATGCCTAATCATAATTGTGATACAAAATAACTGGTCAAGCTTTGAAAATTATATTCAAAAATAAAAGCAGTCATTACTATTTAAAAAGATATATAAATAATGCTTAACTTATATAGAAGTGAAAGTTCAAGAAGTTTATACCAAATAATGAATGCAACAAAGTTCACCTGAATTATAAGAGACAGTTCTGAAAAATTATGAAACAGTTTGAAGTTACTACTTGAAATCACTACTTTAGAATTTAAGAAACTTATAGGTTCATTTTTATTTTATTTTGATTTTTATTGGATGACTGTATTTTAAGGTTATGTCAGTGATAGCTTAAAACCAGATTTTAATTAGGTGTCTTTTTGTGTTTTACTATTCCAGTTATTGCTTAAGAATTCTGGTTGCCTGGGTCAACTGCCATGTCTTTAAATTATGATTTTTAAATGTTTTATTTAGTTTACTTTTTAGAAACACATGAATTCAGTAATCTATTTAGGACTTAAATTAACAAAAGGATCAGAAGCACTTACATACAGTAAACTTCCTCACTTTAAATTATTTTAACAGGTTGGGCACGGTGGCTCACACCTGTAATCCCAGCACTTTGGGAGGCTGAGGCAGGTGGATCACCTAAGGACAGGAGTTCAAGACCAGCCTGGCCAACATGACAAAACCCTGTCTCTACTAAAAATACAAAAAGAATTAGCCAGGCGTGGTGGCAGGCACCTGTAATTCCAGCTACTTGGGAGGCTGAGGCATGAGAATCGTTTGAACTTGGGAGGCAGAGGTTGCAGTGAGCTGAGACTGTGCCACTGCACTCCAGCCTGGGGGATGGAGTGAGACTCTGTCTCAAAAAATCCAACAATTTCATTCTTCAATATATATACCCCCCAAAAATGTATACATGTGCATTAAAAAATTGTGTTAAGAAAGAATGAGCATGACATCCTTCTTAATATTAACTCTAAACTGAAATGACCCAAATGTCCCTCAAAAATAAAATTGACCAATAAATTGTGGCATATTAATATGATGAAATACTCCACTCAATGAACATGTAAAAGCCAAAGTAACAAGCACAAACACGGATGAATCTTATATATGCTTTTGAGCAAAAACCTGGTAACATAATACATGTTGCATACTTCCATTTATATTAAGTTCCAATTCCAGTAAGCATTAGAACTCACCATAGATCTGTTTAGCGGGTAGGAAATGGGTAATGATTGGGAAGAGACACAGAGTGGGATCCTCAGCGGGAGGGATTCTTTCATGATCTGGGTGGTCATTACATAGATTTATTCACTTCGCATTAATTACTGAATGATTTGGACAGTTTTCTGTATGCATATTGTGCTTTAATTAAACAGTTTTTAAAATTAGAAAAACTAAAATTAGATTCCTCTGCCTCTTGAGTCACTAGAGCTATTTGACTAAGAGGTGGGCAAATGGGCAAAATAAATACCAGTCCATCATTTGGCACAGAATCTTTGGGGGAACATAGTTCCATGATGTGTAATAAGGTTTGTGTGGGATAGGTGAGTAGAGTTGCTCCTTAATTTACCGTGGCAGAGAGAGGGAATCAAGGACAGAGAAGTGGTGGGTGCTATAAGGGACCTGGAAGAAAGAGTCCCTCCTTGAAGGTGGGCATGGCAATAAAACTGCCTATAGCCAAGTGCCTATTTGCCCAGTAAGTAAGGCTAATGGTCAATTTGGGATGAGGAGATAAAAATGATCTATAAAGTGCCCCAAGATGAAAACATATGGCCTATTTCCAAGCTTAAAAAAATATATTTGTTCTTATAGGCCTATATAAATGATTTAGCAATGTTTTTCAGCCTACAGGTATAAAATCATTTTGATAATCACAATCAGCATCATTTTTATCAGATAGAGTGGGATAATACAGAATAGCGCATTCCCAAGTAGCAAGGATAAGTACTGTTTTGTCAAAGTGTCTTGTGTGTGTGTCTGTGTGTACATGTGACACATGAACGTGTGCACAGAGACACAGAGTTGGACAATACTATAAAATACATGTCTTACTCGGGCTACTCTCAGAAATGTTTGAAAGTCACGCCTCTGTGGAAATCTTCAGTTATTTTTTTTCTTGTTTTCTGTTAGCCATGGGCATTTGCAAACGTTTCTGAAAATTATCCTGGCTTACGTGTAAATACCCTATTTGTTTCTAAAGCAGAGGCTAATTTCCATTTAAATCATTCTCTTGTAGCCAAAAGTTGTATAAGAGGCATTGTGGTATCTTTTATGTGAAAGGCCAGATGCAGTGTGCTATGACATGTTGGAAAGAAAGATTTCTAAAATAGATAAATGTTCTTTGAAAGAAAACTTTACTATCAATCTTTTCTACCCCCAGGAACATTTCAAATGGGCTTAAAACATTGTTTTGGAGGTGTGACTAATGAAGCCAAGGATATTAGCAAACATCATGAGAGCAGGTATGACCCAAAACATTCCAATGGTTTTTTCTAGAAAACTCCAATCTGCCCTTTTCATTCATACATTTCCAGACAAAATAAGTGGCCTCCCAGCAGAAGTTTTAACATACATGTCTCTGAACAAAGGAAAAATGTATAGGTCTCTTTTTGGTGGCATGAAAAGGTCAGTAAAACCCATGAAACATACAAGAGCTTTGCCACTAAGTTTTCTGTTGTAATAAGTGTCCATTTTCTGGAAACTCAATGAAGGAGAACCTAGTTGACCTCTGATAACACAAGTCCTCTCCAGTCTTAGTTATCACACCAATTCCTGTTGGACACAAATCTGTATCAGCCATTAAGTCTTCACAATGGCTGCATAATCACATAAATGAACATTTCTCCAATGAGGACTCCAGTTGCATTTGCTCTGTGGCCAGTATCTCCAGGCTTTGATTCTTATCTCAAGCACTTCAGTCAAGGCATTATTTTCCTCAAAGCCCCATGTTACTTCTTTTTTTTTTTTTTCCCCATCCTCACTCATAGAAATAGAAATGATCTTCAGTCTTGACTTCTCACATATATTCCAAACTTCCAAATGCTAAACTTCTAAATAAGAGACTTTAAATTTGACATCTGCTTGTCTCACCAATTTCAGCATTTCCATCACCCAAACTCTTCATGTCTCTCAAGCTTTCAGTCAAGATCCTTCACAAGTAACCCCATTTTATATAGAGCTACCATTATTTCTTCAGGCAATACATCCAGACATCACTTTGGAACTCTTCACTCACAATTTCCAACCTGGCAAGAGGATTTGTTATTTCTTTCCTTGAAATGTCCTTGAGATTTGCCCTTTTTATCTATTTATACTGAAACCACCATATTCATGGTTGTCATCAGCTTATGCCTGGATTACTGCTGTATCCTTCTTATTCCTGTTTTAGCTGATAAGGAAATTATTTAGCAGGAGGATAACTTAAAACTTGATTAAGAATGTGCTATGTGTCAGACACTATGCTAGTCACAGAATATACACCACAAATTAAATAAGACCCAACACCTGACATCAAGTTGCTCAAAATCTCTTGGCTGCTACTGCTAAACTTATACCAGGCATTCTTAAACATTACTGTCATCATGTCACTTTCCTCTTTCAGAACTTGGAATGCTTCACATACTTGCTTCGTTAAGTACAAATGCTTTTGTCTGATTTTTGTAGTTTTTCCCTGCATCTGTCCTACCTTGTTCGCCTTTATTCCCTCACATGGCTCATTTTATTCATCAAGCATAAAATACTGCTTGTCACTACATGTTCCATACAGTTCCTTTCCTTGACTCCTGATCACTCTTCCTGGAGGCCTTCCTTTCTCCTTCTCCCACACAAACCTTATCTATCCTTCAGGGCCCATTTACCAGCTTCTCTTTTCCATAAAGACTTCTGAAATTTTTGCAAACCAATTCTTCCCTTCTTAATGCCTATTGCTAGAGACAATTCTACCTTAGAATTGAGGGACAATTCTATAGTTAGGGGACAGTTCTATCTTAGAGCACTGAGTGTGCTATTGATTTTACCATGTGTTTAAGGATGTTCCTATACATAGAACATAAACTTTTTGATCTTCTCTGAAATACTGGATGTTGGCCCCATACCACCTAGCACTGTGCCAAATCAATAGAGGATTTGGTCTTCATGAGGCACACTCTTCTATCTCACCATTCTGTTATGTCTCTTTATTCATCAAGTGTTTGGTGACTGACCATCTGTGTCTGGCCTAGGGTTAGACATTTGGGGTTAAACATATTGTATTAGTCTGCTCTCATACTGCTGTGAAGAAATACCCAAGATTGGATAATTTATAAAGGAAAGAGGTTTAATAGACTCACAGTTCTGCATGGCTGGGGAGGCCTCAGGAAACTTACAATAATGGCAGAAGAGGAAGCAAACATGTCTGATACGATTTGGCTCTGTACCCACCCAAATCTCATCTTGAACAGTATTTTCATAATCCCCACGGGAGGGACCTGGTCGGAGGTAATTGAATCATGAGGGCAGGTTTTTCCCGTCCTGTTCTTGTGAAAGTGAATAAGTGTCACAAAATCTGATGGTTTTATAAAGGGCAGTTTGGTTCCCTTGTACATGCTCTTTTGCTTCCCACCATGTAAGACATGCCTTTGCTACTCCTTCCTTTTCTACCATGATTGTAAGGCCTCCCCAGCTATGTGGAAATGTGATTCCATTACATCTCCTTTTCTTTATAAATTACCCAGTCTCGGGTGTGTCTTTATCAGTAGTGTGAGAACAGATTAATACAACATCCTTCTTCACAAGGCAGCAGGAGAGAGAATGAGTGCCCAGCGAAGGGGGAAGCCCCTTATAAAACCATCAGATCTCATGAGAGCTCATACACTATCACAGGAACAGCATGAGGGTAACAACTCCCATCATTTAATTACCTCCCACCTGGTCCCTCCCAGGACACATGGGGATTATGAAAACTACAATTCAAGATGAGATTTGGGTGGGGACACAACCAAGCCATATCACATATGCAATCAAATAAATATTGATATCAGAAATAAATAGTACAGCAGAAGCCCAGGGTAGGAGAGCCTAAGCCTGTCTCCAAGAGTAAAGGGGATCCTCCTAAAAGGGATGTTCTTTCCTGCCTGGCATAGCTTTCCTTTCTAGTTTAGCAATTTCTCTCAATCCCTAAGGCTTAGTTCAAAGTTTACCCCTTCTCTGTAGTTAACAACAACAAAAAAAATGGTGATCTTAAAATTATACATAAAGAAGTAAAAGACCCAGAAAAGTGTGATGACTTGCCCAAATGATGTATGCATTTTATTCATGTTCTCCATGAGTATTTTTCTTTGATATTTGTTTGCAGTAATTATGCTTATAAATTACTTTTTTTAGATTTTGTGGTAACTAAAGGGCAATGTTGATGCCAGGTGTGTTAGAGTTATTTGCAGAAATTATTTGGATTCTGTGACCCTCCATGTCTATTTCTATTTCTGTACTTAATTTCTCGAAGGCTCTGAATGGACATAAAAGAGTCTATATAGGATGCTAGAACAAGCCCCAAACTGTAAGGCTAATCTAGTGAGTATGTTTTGAAAAGGTCTCAATTTCCTTCCCTAGATCACAGGGAAGAAGTGTTTGATCTAACCCACTCTCATTTCCAACCAGTTGTGAAAACATGCCTCTCAAGATTTTAGACTGCTGGAATAGAGAGGAGTAAATAATCAGGGGAAAGTGGTTAAATATAGAGCAGGGTTTAGATGTATAAAACCTCAGCAAGCTGGTCTGACATCTCCTCCATGGAACTCCAACTAGAGCTACTCTTGTCAGTAATGGACATCTCTTAACTTTGATTAACCATTTTAGTGCCAGAGCTCTTTATTTTTTCAATATTTCTAATAATGTAACTGTACTATCTTGCCGTTTTTTAAAGCATAAAAATTTACTATGTCCATTCAAAGTAATTCAGTAATTTTTTACTAATTCCTATGCCTCAGACATTGCAAAATGTCACTGAGGAAAAAGGACTCAGCATAAAATATCAGCTTATAAAAGCACTGGGAAATTTCCATTAACACAAATGAATGTACGTAAGTTTACTTCTTCTTTTAAATTATTGTCATATAATACCTGTGTGGGAGAGAGTATGAAAAACACAAACTGTCTTACACTATTGGCAGGAATATAAAATGGCACTCAGGGTACTTTGTTACTAGCTATCAAAATATCAAATATTTCTTCTTTTGATCTATCAACTCCACTACCATAAATGTAGTCTACTGGTATGTTTTTTTGCAGTATTGTCTGTAATAGATAAAATAACTAAATATCTATTAATGGGGATGTTTACATCAAATACAGTAAAGGCATTCTATGATATATAATGCAACTATTTTTTGAAAATGAGACAGATCCATATATACTGATATGGAAATGTTTCTAAAATGTATTATTTTTTAAAAAATCGGAGCAAACTTTTGGGATATCATTTATATTTTTAAAAATTCTTTGTAAGAACTTCCATTTTGAACCATAAACATAAAAATAATGGGTCAGACTTACTTTGCCTCAAATAACTAAAAAAGTAAACAAAATATTTTTAAGCAACTCTGTTTAGGAATTTGACAATAGACAAGAGAGAGTTGTCTCTGATCTTGGAGAAAAGGGAAACACGTGAATGAGCTTCAAATCTGCCACAGTTTTCTACTTCAAAAAACCTTACCAACTATGGTGCAGTAAAGTAGAGACCAAACAGAGAACAACAATCTCTATAAGTGAAAGATCAAAATTCAGGGCTTCTAGAGAAGGTGTAATTTGAAGGGCACAGTACTGGAGAGAAGGAAGCTATACATGATATATCCCCTTGAATATTAGCTGTGCATGTAAAGTGTGAAACCCTGAAAAAAAATCTGGGATAACAGCTACTGAAGGATTGTGAGCTGGAAGGAGATTCTGGAGATTATACATGCTGAAATATGGTGGAGTTCCAACCAGTTAAGTGTAGAGAGCTTTCTAAATACTCTGAGCGTTTAGTTAAGACCTCAAAAACTACATACCATAGAAAAGTGCTACTGTATCCCAGCGTAAAGGTAATCTTAGAGTAACGTCACCAAAATCCAAACCAACTTTGCTTAGATTAAGCTGATTCTCCAATAAATCAACTAATTTCTAAAATAAAACAAAGCACTGTTCAAAAGAAAAAAAAAAAACTGTCTTCAAGAAAAAAATATCATCCTTGGTCAAATAGTAGTTCTATTTTTAGTTCTTTGAGATACTTCCATTCTGTTTTACCATAGACGTTGAACTACTTCAAATTCTCAACAGTGTATAAGCATTCCCTTTTCTCCACATCCATGCCAACATTGTGATTTTTTGACTTTTTAATAATAGTTATTCTGACAGGTGTAAGATGATATCTCAGTGTAGTTTTAATTTGCATTTATCTGATGATTAGTGATGTTGTATGTTTTAAGAAATAGCTGTTCATGTCCTTTGC